GTAATTAACACCTTTGTTTGACCGAAATATGTAAACTGTTAAGAAAAATAAGGGGAAATATGAACAAATGTAAGAGAAAATAAGGTATGCAAGCATGCATTATAAGAGAGAAGAAAAGTTGTCTTTCTTTATCGCCTTCATTTGTACAATCAAGTACTATATTATGGCTTCGTCATGTTTCTATTAAAATGAAGAAAAAAAACAACTTTTGGAGTATTTTTCTATTTAATACTTGTTTTCGTTGATAGATACAAATATTAGAAAAAGATAGTGTTTGATAACCAAAACATAAAATTATATAGTTGGTTTTTCAAATTCAATTGATTATTAAATGTTGATTATCTAAACTTCACTATATTAAGTTCTAATAAAAATTAATTGATCAGATTTAATCAAATATATTTTTTAAAGAATTACAATATATGTCACTTTCTAGACGTAAGTATACAGCTGCTACACATATATATTGCAAAAATAATTATTGAATAAAAAAAGAAAACATTAAAGAAGATAGAGATAGCTACTTAAATGATCATTAAAAAAAATATTAAAAGAAGATAGATATAACTACACTAATTGATCATTAACTAACTTTTTTGTTTGTAAAAAAAAGTGTCCACCACGGCACCTTGTAAATTCTCCAAATGCTTATGTGGCAACAAACTACTTTTGAATTGCCATAATATTATGTATAGATAGATAGATAGACTAATAAATGTAGCGATTATGGTTGTATCCAGTTATGGGTGGAAATGTCATCCTAAATCCCATATCAATCTCAATCCCAGAATAATCACGTTATCAAAATCTCTAATCTTTGTTCGCTATCAATGCATGACAAATACGAAATTAATTCCATTCAAAATTTCCAATTAAATATAAAAAAGCAAATACCGCTCTTTTGCAAGCAGTTCCACAAACCAGTCTGTTTTGAGTCAGCTTGGTGTGGATGATTAAACAAGGGTAATGTCTATTTTTTATCCAAACCTTTTTTGGATTCTTTTTATTGGCCAAAACTATCGAAATACTAAGAAATAACCAAGTGTTAACTTTCAGTTAGCAATTTTGTTAGTAATATTGACTTGGCAACATGATACTAACTTGGAAGAGACACATGAAGCTCAACATTCCAAAAAAAAAAAGTATTTTAAATAAGAAAAGAATTAGAAAATTATTAACGATAACGTACAAATGGCCAATCTTTTGATGCATTACGAAAGATTTGGCTAATTAATAGCATTTTAATACCTTGTTAGCGCAGACCAACCAATCACACACAAGGCGGGCGATAGCCAAACAAACATCCCGAGCGGAAGCACTGACATCCCTGAAGATTCGGGCGTTTCGCTCTAACCAGATCCGCCAACAAAAAGCATGGAGAAAAACCTTGGAGCACCACTGTTGCGGGTTAGAGGGATTCGGAAAAAGCCACCCTCTAATGATCGTGGGGAGATCTCTTGCCAGTTGGGCCAGTTGCACAAACGAACTCATGATCCTCCAGATTTCACAGCTGAATGGGCATAGAATGAACAAATGATCCAGGGATTCTTCATTGCAACCGCACAAAACGCACCTGCTGGGGAAAGCCCAACCCTTCCTCTTCAGCGCATCATGCGTGAGAACTTTCCTTTGATAAGCAATCCACAAGAAGACACAGATCTTGAACGGGATCGTCGACTGCCACACGTTCTTGTGGGGGAAGCTAGAATAACCATTGTGGGAGGACTTCAACAGCTCCCTATACATGGACCCGGATGAGAAGCCAGCGGAAGGGGCGGGTTCCCAGGACACTCTGCCAGGGCCTGTACAAAGAAAATCAGAAGGGAGATTGTTAAGAAGCACTAAAAGTCTCACTCTCTCACACTCAGCCCCCCCTCTCAAGTTGTGAATAGAAGGGAGAACCCAAACAGGAACTCCCTCTTGGTTCTGAACCATGTCCACAACCCGGCAGTTCGGCTCCATAGCAACAGCAGCAACCCTTGGGAACTCAGTGGCAAGCGGCTTTGATCGGCCCTTGATCCAAACATCGAACCAGAAAGAGGTATCAGCGCCAGCACCCGGCTCAATATGCGCCCAGTTCCAAAACATCTCATTTAGTTTCATAATTTGAGACCACGGGATAGCACCCACAGCTCCACGAGGCCTCCCCGGTGACCAAATCGAAGCATTATTTCGGAACTTCACTTCTATAAGATTGCGCCACCACGACTCCCTCTCGACGGCGAATCTCCAAAACCACTTACACAAGAGCGCTTGATTTCTAAACTTCATATCTGTAATTCCCAAACCTCCAAGACATTTAGGAAGCTTGCAGGTATCCCAAGAGACCAAGTGAAGTTTATTCTCCCCTTGGACACCCGACCAGATGAAATTCATTTGAAGCTTTTCCAACTTCATAATCACACTGACAGGGGCTTTAAACAGGCTGAATAGGTAGTTCGATTGAGCGGCAAGAACCGCATTGCACAAAACAATTCTACCCCTAATGGAACGATAATTCCCTTTCCAGCCAGCAAGGCACTTCTCCACCCTTTCTATAACATGATTCCATATTGAGGCCGAGGAGCGTGGCGCCCCCAAGGGAAGACCGAGGTATGTGGTATGAAGGAACTTCCAATCACATCCCAAAATCTCAGCCAATCTATCTATGTTGTCCACGCTACCAACCGGATACAGCTGGCTTTTATTATTGTTGACCTTGAGACCAGTGATACACTGAAACCAGATGAGGGCGGCAGCAAGATTAAAGACGGACTCTTCCTTAGCATCACAAAACACAATGGCATCGTCTGCATACAGCAGATGACTCGCACCTCCCTCCCTGTTCGACTCGTCAATAAAGAAACCCTCCAAGAAGCCAGCTCCTTGAAGTTGTTGCAAAATGAAGGCTAGGATATCCATAACAAGGCTAAAAAGAAAAGGGGACAGGGAGTCACCTTGCTTGAGGCCACGTTGCATGCCAAAAAACCCACTTGCTTCTCCATTAACAAGGACCGAGAGCTTGGAAGGAGTAACAATTCCTCTAATCCACTTTTGAAAGCGAGAGCTTAGCTCCAAATTGTTAAGCGTTTTGAACAAGTAGCCCCAATTAGCGGAGTCAAAAGCCCGCTCAATGTCGAGTTTGAAAATCACCCCAGGACGCCCACTTTTCACTCTGCTGTCAACCAACTCATTGGCAATCAACCCAGCTTCGTGGATCTGTCTCCTGCTCAAGCCTGCAAACTGCTGCTTCGAAATGACGCGGTTCATGAATGGTTTGAGACGGAAGAAAAGAACCTTGGAAATGATCTTGTTGAGACTGCCAACAAGACTGATGGGGCGATAATCATTCACATCCTCAGCAGCTTCCTTCTTCGGAATCAGACAGAGAAAGGAGTGAGCCACAGAATCTGGGATAAAACCTGTAATGTAGAACTCGTCAAGGGCTTTTAGAATGTCTTTCTTAATAATGTTCCAAGCTTTTTTGAAGAAGTCCAGGGAAAAACCGTCAGGACCTGGAGCTTTGTCCCCTCCGCAGGAACACACTGCCTTCCAAACTTCTGCCTCGGTGAAAGGAACAGTGAGCAGAAAGCTATCCTCGGGGGACAGGAGATTCCGTTTGAATTCTTCAGGGAAGGGTCGAACCTTGTATTCCTCAACGAATCTTTTCTCAAAATGCACAACAAAAGCCTGCTTGATGCCCACCTCATCCAAAATAAACTCACCACCCACCTTCAGTCTTTGGACCCAGTTTCTCCTCCGATTATTATTAGCAACACGATGAAAATAGGCTGAATTTTTGTCACCAACCTTCAGCCGAAATTCTCGAGACTTCTGCCACCAAGAGATTTCCTCCATAAGAATGATTTTATCTAACTCGACCCTGAGAGAACTCCTCTCAAGATTCAGGCCCTCCGGAATTGGACCCTTTTCTTCAGCATCATCGATAGCCTTAATTCTTCTGAAGAGAACTTCAATTTTCTGCTTGATGCAACCAAAAACTTCAATATTCCACGTCTTAATAATCTTCTTGGTTTGCCTCAGCCGCTAACCAGTCCGAAAAAGGAGGCCCGACCCAGAGACCGGGACATTCACCACCCAACCAGACTTTGGAAGAAAGAGTCTTCCAATAACCACATATTTTCGAACCGCCATGGCCGCTTCACACGATCAGCAGACCCAACCAGACTTTGGAAGAAGAACTCTTTGTTTTAAACCATGACCAGCTTAACAGGCCTTACCTTATGGCTCACAGACTGGCGGCCAATAGGAATTTAAACAAAATTGTCAATCAAACATACGATGCTAATAGGAAGGTGTTTATTAAAATTGCATTTTGTTGTGTTCTGAGTTAGCTCGGTGTGAATGATTAAACAAGGACTAGCATACTGTATACTTGTGGTATTAGTAATTCAAGTCATTAATTAAGAATTAAATTGTTCATGATGGACACTAAATAATTAATTAAGGGGTGACTTTCTGGAGTCGTATTAATATGTCTGTATATATATAAAAATAAATGTAGCGATTAAGGGTGCATCCAAGTACTAGGGGTGGAAATCTCGAATACGAAAAAGTGTTCTAAATTTCATATCAAATCCCAATCCCAAAATATGGAATTTCGTTATTCAAATCTCTAATCTTTTGTTCTCTATCGATACATGACAAATACGAAATATATTTTCTTGTATTTTCCTTCTAAGATAATAAAACTTGGTCATCATTAACAAAAAAAAATATAGAAAAGCAAATATTTCTCCTTGTGGATGATTAAAGAATGACTGGCATACTGTACACTTGTGGTATTATTAATGAAAGTCATGAAGAATTATAATTGTATATGTTGAGTCTTTGTATAATTATTATTATCATTGTATCTGAGATCAAAGAGACGCGTAGGGTTGACTTGGTGCTAGTATATAAAGATAGCGATGACAGGGTGAAGGAACACAATCCAATCCATACTTACTCGATCAATCAATTCTCAGTTAGTTATCCTCGCCAAGCCAAGGAGCGCCAACATGCCTGTTCTAACCAAAACTTGCCGGATGGCATTGTCCGCTAACGAGGTGTGGGGAGCGATTTTTGCTGCAACAAATATATACCCGTCCGCCATGCCTAACCTGATTGCAGGCATCCGAGTGACCAGCCGAGACGGTGTTACTGCCGGTTCGGTTCGGGAGATCACTTTTGGAACTGGTACGTAGCTAGCAAGCAATTACACATCATTTTCATTAATATATATGTAATAATCGTATTGTATGACGTCGTATATATGTTGCAGCCACAGCAGGTATGGTCAGCCAGGCGACCGAGCAGATTACCAGGGTCGACCATGCCACTCGAACCGTCGAATCCACCTTTAACAATGATAGGAACTTCGTGGGCAGGCACTTTCGTTCTGCCTCCCTGGTCGTAAAGGTGGATCCCAATAACGCCGACGATGGCCCCAACTCTCGAGGTTCCACAATCACCTGGACTTTGACATACTCATGGATTTCAGCTACTGCATCAGGCGGACTCAATTTGGACGTTTTCTGGAATGCTATAGAGCAGGGATTCAAGGATTTAGACACTTACATCTAGGTCCCACGCCCATAAAATCCTTCATCCATCATCAACTATGGCTATGCACCACGCTTTTTTAATTTGCTTTTCCGTCTACTCTTTCTTTTTTATCCATCTCATGTTATATTTATGCACGTTGGTGTGCAGTGCTCAATAATATTATGCATGGCTGGATCACTCTTGCTCGATCTTATCTTCTTCTTCTATTTTCCTGTCCTGCTTACTTCAGCTACCCTGTTATATATAATATTGTGCCTCTATGAGTGTCATAATTAATTTAATTTATGTGAACTAATTATATCCTTTTATTTTTGCTTCACATGCAATAATTCGATATTATTACCACGCAATCACTACAAGAAAATCACTTTTTAGTGACTAAATTATAGAGGCAAATATTGTATATGTTGCTAAAAGTACTTATACACAACATATATTCAAGCTGCCTCTATAAGTATTATTATTTGCCTGTAATAATATTATGGTGTCTTATATATGAAATTACGTTAAATAACCTATTACTTTTGGAGGCAACTATGCATCATGTGTTTAGACCTCTATGAAATGATAAAAAAAATATACTATAAGCATTACATATAATTATTGAATGAAAAAAATAAATAAAACTAAATGTCATTCATTACTTAATTAAACCATATAGTTGAATATTAGAGTTGTTTCTCATAATACATACATAATCAACCTTTAGGATTAAAGAAAATGTCTTCTAAGTTTAGTATGTCCTTTAAGTTTTTCCTAATAGAGTGCATTCTTTTTTACCACACTGTTGGTAATGAATATGAAGTTGCTTGACTTGAAATATACAGGACATGATGCTAAGTTGTCACTAATAATTAGTTGGACAATGTGTTGTGCAAGGACTTCCCAAATTATTCTCAGATCGCAGACATGTCTTGCAATAATGTAGTAATGTTCATGCAACAAATATTTTTTTCATGAAATAATTTAATAAATAAAAACGTATGAAAATAATATTACATTAAATATATGTTACTCATCAAGTTGATGAATGAGAGAGAGTATAAATGGAATACATTTATTTTAAAAAAATAGAAATTGTAAAGTGTCTTTTGGGTTGCATGAGATCGCATATTCTCATTATCGATAACCGACTTATGCTTTTTTGCAATAGATAGTTCAAAATGTGCCTTAAAACTTTTGTTTCCATCTGTGTAAAAGAATTTTTTAAACCAAAGGATTATAAAATTGAATCGAAAAAGTTGTCAGCAGAGTATTTTATAATGGAGTAATAATTTAACTGTGGTTCAACTTTTCATATTGCTAAATATCACCTATCGATTTAGCCTATGATGTGAAATTTAATGGTCTAAACGCCGGTACGTACGATCTTTCAATACAAACTTTAATAAAAAACCACTAAAATATTAACATTATCAAATACCCTTAAATCTCATAAATTAAAAAAATCGTATTAAGGAAAAAAATCTTCCGAATGATAATATTAATATAATGTTATCTCTTAAAATAAATCAAAACTCAACAGAATAAGACAAAAAAATATCCACTAATCAAAGCAGAAAGACAATTATTTCACTTTATCTCATTTTCCTCCTCTTTTAAATGGGTCCTTTCACTCTCCCTTTGCCTTTCTCTTTGTTTTTGCATTTGTTCTTCCATCTCTCTATCTGTTTTGTATCTCAACACTCTCCCCATTTTCCCTTCCCACCGCATGGAATCGAGAGAAACCTAGAAACATCCAAATTACTTATCCAATTTTGCATTCGAAATGCTTCTTCTCCATTCACAGTCGATAGTGTGAATCAGAGCACCTGAAACTTGGCGAACAGATGGTCGCTTATTCATCGACGGAGCAAAGTAGCTTGATAGCTTGTGAATAAACTAATTATTAAAAGTGAAAAAGCAGAACTCGTTAAACCATTGAAGTAAGTGCATAGTTTGTTCATCGCTTAAAGCCTTAAACCGTTGTATTTATCTAAAGAATCATAATACATAATCAAGTTCATCTTCACTTTACATGTATTTGTCGTACAAATTTATTACACATAAAAAATGGTTTTGAACCGATGCCATATCAAACTAAATCTCATCTTATGATTATTGGATCCATGTCAGATTAGCAAAAGGTCTAAGGCTATTGGTCAAACTAAATCTCATTCTTAATACTAATTTAAGAATTATATATCGCTTCCAAAATGTTGAATACTCCAATTCAATATGCAATATTCAATATTCAAACAAATTATATATGAGTTTCAACCCTTAATCAAATTTTAGACAAAAAAAAAAACTCCCCCCCCCCCCACCACACACACACATTTTCAAAGAAATACCAACTCTCAATTTATTCTTCACTTTACTTGCTTCTAAAGTTATTGTTGACGTTGTTTGTTAATAGTGCAAGTTGTAAGAAAGACTTTTCAACTATGAAGTTAATCAAGAATGATTTTGTAAATAAATATTTAGTTGTATACATTGAAAAAGGTTTGAGTCTAAAAAATAAACAATGAATGTATTTTATAAATCTTTTAGAATACGAGCCCTCACACGTTGATGTTAGAAACTATTCATTAATTCAAATTTTATATGTTATTTTTAGAATATTTTATTTTTATCAAATGACGCATTTCTCAATAAATTACATATTGACTTTGTGATGCTTGCAATTGTGCGCGAGCCCTTGAAGTTTAAGTTTGGTACGACTCATGAAGCATTTATGCTTGTACATGGCCGATCCATATACATTGTCTTCATGGTATGTTCTAACTATGTCTTGCTAGCTCGACCATGTACCTATGTATAGTTATATGCATTATAATAATTAAGTTTCTACTTATTCACAACACCAAGATAAAAACAGTCATAAATGCAACAAGTATTCGATTTTGACTACTTGATGAAATACTACATATGAATAAACTACAACTGATGTCACAAATAATAATTATACTTCTAAATCATACATATAATATTTCAAACAACACAATTCACAAATATTAAGATTAAATTAATTATTATAAAGAGTAAAAATTTATAATGAGGTTAATTATAACTTATAAATTGATCAACACATCCTATCCAAAACTGACGAAATAAACATCACATTAAACTTGATATCGTCTCATTATTGTTGGGTTCATTCATGCTCGATTATTAAGAGTTTAACATTTAGCAGTTAAGCAGGCTAAAATTTTAGAGAACTAATCACCTATAGTTTGTTCAAAATATTATTATTTCGATACTTTCTATGTAACATTTAATACTGCAGTTTGTTCAAAATATTATTTTAGAGAACTACATCACTTTTGTAAATTTAATACTGCAGTTCGATATGTAACATTTCAAGCAATTAGATTTGTGTTGCAATTTAAATATTGCCCGTCATTTTATAGGTTATAAAAATTATAAATCACATATTAAACTTTGCTTTTCACAAGATTTAATAGGCTAGCTAACCGTGAAAAGTCCTCTGTTTTTCAAATATTTGATTAGTGCATGTTTACAATTTAAGAAGATAAAACAAATTTGTTTAGTCTAATTGATTGTGATTATTGTTTTTGTTTGAAAAGACCATGGTTCAAATCTTGATATTGATACTTTTTCATATGAAGTAGATAATAATTGTGATGACAAAAATATTATTCTTACTTTCACTCTCGCTTCACGAAATTTGAAATAGAAAATGTTAAAACATTGAATATATCTTATAGAAATAGTTTTTTCAACCAAGTAGAAAAGACATTTTATCTGAAGCTACCCTCTCTAAAGATGCCGCCATGGGGGCTGTCGTTGGCGTCCTCCAGCGACTAGTGGCGGCCCTCCGCCTCTTATTTTTCTGTTGTTATCTTCTTTTTCGTTATCTTATTTGCTCTTTTTGATTTGTTGTTCTTTGTTACCATGCTTCCGTTCCTTTTGATTTTTTTTTCCTGAGGTTTTCTTTGTATTCGTCGCTTTTCCATACCCTTGGTGGGTTTTCTTGCTTGCTTCCTTCCAGCTTCTTGCCACTTGTGGGTTCAGTTTCCTCCCGTAAGTGGGTTTGATTTTGTCCTCTGCTCTGATTTTTTCAGATCTAGAGATGATCCGTTCTGAGTGGCAAGGGAGGCTGGATTTTTTTAAGATTCAACTTGTATTTTTCTCATCTTTCCCTTTGTCTACCTTCTTGCTTCACTTTGCAGATCTTGGTCTCTCGGAGATGCAGCCTCGGCTTGGACTCGGAATGACGAGCATTAAGACAGAAATCTTGCTCTCTTGGTTCAACCATCGGCCGCCTCTCTGTTCTGACGCATCTCCTGGTGGTGTGAGCTGAAGGGGTGTTCAAGACTTTGGTCCAGCGAGGATCTGGTGCATGAGGTGGCAGCTCTTGTTTTCGTAGATCCTCCATTTGGGTTGGTGGTTTCCTTCTCTCCAGCGATGGTGGTTGGTGGTTGCTGGTGGTGTTTGAAACCTGCAGCAGTGGTGGTTGGAAACAAGAGGGCTTCTACTTCCTACGGCTAGGGTTAGGAAAAAAACGTGTTGGGCTTGCTGTCTTGGGCCTAAAGTTTGTTTGGGTCCTGATCGTTGGTCTTGTTTTTTTCCTTTTCCTATTCTAAGTTGTATTTGTATCTTTCCTTTGGGTTTTGCCCACGGCTATCTTAATGAAATTACTTGCAAAAAAAAATAAAAAGTGATTAATTGCGAAATGGGAACTCAAGTGACATTGATTGAAACATTAAATAATAAATTATATGTGTGGTTTGTTTTGACAAAATACATATCTGTAGCCAAAACATGGATCTCCGTGACAAATATAGTAATTTTTTGTCACAAATCTACACATAATATAAAGATGAATTGGGCACTATGACGAAAAAAGAGCTTCCTATAATCACTATCGGGCCACAAAATTGGAAATGAGACTCTCATTTTCCAATTTTATCATTATATTATGTGTAGATTTGTCACAAAAATTAATTTTACTCGTCATAAAGGTCCATGTTTTGGTTACACTTTTGTATTTTGTCTAAACTAAACAATACATACAATTTAATATTAATGTTTGAATCAATACTACTTGAGTTCCGATTTCAGAACTAATCTCTTTCTATAAAATATAAATAACTTAAGATAAAATAAAAATATAGAAGCATCATCACCAAACATATTCATAGAGTTTAATCAAAGAAATAAAAATAAATAAAATGTAGGCTAGTTGGTTACAATGATCTTTATATATTTAAAGTGACAAAGGTTCAAACTCCAATATTAACATTTTTAATATATAAATATGAACTGGGTGCAATGACAAAAATGACATTTCTAGAACCACTCTCAGACTACGAAATTTGAAATAGAAGAATTTCAAACCATGTTTTTCGTTTATGTATTTTGTAGATCTATGGTCATACTACGAGTATTTCATACCATCCGGTCCAACAATTAATGCATATATTTTATAGACAAACGATTTCATTGTTATACCAAAGATTTTCGTCATGTAGCCACGATACATAATAGAAAACGGCTTATAAGGTGACAATCAATATTAATGTAATGATTAACGCGGCGTATTAGGTGGTTCAGAGTTGACAATTAATTATAATATCGATATTATTCTGCTGGCGAAAAGAGTTGACAATCCAAATTACTATCGATATTATGATTCTCGGCAATAAACGACTTTATGAACTAAATTACGAAAATAAATGATTAATCAAAAGGAAATAAATAAATGCTCGAAGAAAACTAAGAAACTCGCAATAAATAAAAGACAATAAAAAAGCTATTTGGGTTCCAATCTTCTCATGATTTGAAACGAAAGACATAATATATATTTATAGGCATATAATTAAGCCTATACATATCTAGAATATGATTCCTCCTACAAGGAAGCTAGTAACAGTAAGCCAAATCCTATTTAGACAAGGAAACTACTAATAAAAAAAATGATAATACTATCTTCTTCAAAGCCTACAGTTTAGTTTATGGCTCTGAGGTCGTCAGGAATTCACCCTCTGGCTGTTCATAGAGAAGTGGGTTCTAGTAACTCCCTGTGAGTTCAATATTATTATTTTTACGACAGTAATCTAATTTTTTGCTTAGAAATAGTATTGACACGCTAAAACACAACACCAAACTGCGACCAAGTGTAATCGCAGTCCGGAAAATGCAGAATAGTAGCAAGTTCTATTTATCAACCCGAGGCCTAAATATACTGCCTAATCCGTGATTATCTATTATCTAGTAGAATAAGTTGAGTGAATGTGATTTTTGCTAAAGCAGTAAGAAAGCAGGAAATTGTCGAAGTTCTTAAGCAATGAAGAGTTACTCGGGAATGAGTCCCCTAGCTCCTTAGTTAGGTCAAAGTTGTAATTACCTTTAGTTGATTTACTGTAGATTAAACTGCGGAAGATCCGACAGTAGCTTGAAATCTCTTAAGCTGACCAAACCCTCTTAGACAGACTAACCGGCAGGCGACTAGCCTTCACCAGGATGGAATGCTGAGGCAATAAACACAGAACTCCATTACTGGAATTGGATTCCAGTACAAAGCATTAAATCGACTAACTCTCGTATAATCGATTCACTACTACCGATTGAAGAAGCTCTAACAACCTAATCAAATTCTATCTATCTCAAGTTGCAGCAGCCAGCAGAAATCAGGAAAAGTTGGTCACACTTCAATTGACTCAATCAAAACACTTCAATCGATTATATTCAAGTAGTATCACAAACCAAAAGTCATTACAATCGATATCCCTAACACATGGAACTAGGGTTCTTCATACCCAAGTGAGAGAGAGTTCTACTCCATAGAGAGAGAGAGAGAGGGAAACAGAAAACAAAGCAGTCATACACATCAATATGGGAAGAATCTGCTCTGGGATGATGATCTTCACTCTAAGGATGAAATCCAAGGTTGATTGATGAAACCCAGCTCCAAAATCACCTCTTAGGTGTGTTCTTCGCACCTTCTCTCTGTAGGACTCTATTTCTAGCTCTCAAAATTAACTCCCTTCTCAAAAGACCCGAAATTGGGTTAAAATCCAGAATTTCCCGACTACACAGCCAGGCCACACGGCCGTGTAGAATTTCCAGCTGCCCGTGTGGAAGTGCAAAACGCCGCGTTTCACTTAAGTGGCTTCATGCACGCCACACGGAAAGAACTGCAAGGCAGTGTGAAATCTCGTCCTGCCCGTGGGAAGGTCTCTGTGATTTCCACATGACCACAAGGGGTCCATTACACGGCCAGTTCGATTTGCCCGCGCAAAAGGATTCCACGCGGCCAAGTCACACGGCCGTGTGGTTTTTAGGTCTGGTCGTGTGATTTCCCAGCTTCCTGTCAATCGTTCCAACTTCGTCCAATTGACCCCAAACTCGTGCCCGATCCTTCCTTCAGTACTAGGACCTAAAATATTACAAACACGAACAACCTAGCATGAAATCGGACTAAAACATGAGAGACGAGACTCAAACGATAGAAGAATGGTGGACAAAAACATGTATATATATCAAGTCATCAAATTCCCCGTCACTTAACCGTTTGCTTGTCCCCAAGCAAACCAAGTCAGATACAAGGTAAGCTCAACACATTTCAATCATGCAAACTTTGGGGACATATCATATAGGCACAAAACACGTGAATCATATTGGCTTTTGATCATTAACACATGGGCAACTTCAACAGCAACCTGGATAACCACCACAGAGGACATTCGAGTGCAGCAAAATCGAGTAAAGAAAGAGTCTCCCTTCTGTTGACCAACCAACATAGACTCGACTCAACCACTCAGCCAAGACAGTCATTGCATGCATCAAACTCAAGACATCAAAATCAAGACCGAGCCATCTAGGTCCTCACCGGGGTAAAGAGTGTAAAGAACAAGGAAATGAATCGCTCACTCTCGACCAGTGGGGTTAGGACAATTTGATGCGAAAAATGCGCATGCTTATTCTCTCATTCCCTGACGTCTCTTCACCATGACGGCAGCCTCTAAATGTTAGAGTTCACATATTGGGTGTCATCACTAACTAATCCGGAGGTCTTAGACACAGGTTCAAATGACTGGCTAAGGTCTTGGACATGGGAAAAAAGCCTTTTAGGTGGTGGAAGTATTCATAGCACAAGGTTCCACGGTTCCAAACCCAACACATTCACAGCTAATCCAACCACTTACTTTCTTTCTGCCATTCTGCATTACTCAAATTCTTTAGAGCATAAGAGCAAAGGAGGTCACAATGATGTTAGTATTTCTAAGCCAAACTGCTAAGAAACACTACTTAATGAGCATGATTCAAATTTTTGGTAGTGGTTCTCTTTAGTTTTCATTCATTTTTTCTTTATTTTTTTATTTATTGAGAGAACCACCACCTCTACAAATTTTTCAAACACATGCCCAACTTTTAAAAAATACCTCCAACCCTCCCATTATTTCTAGCAGAAACAGCAGAGAACATGTAAAAACCACTCTGTAGAACGAAAGAAAGAAAGTGACACGCTCAAAGGGGCTGACTAGGGGTTATGACACAGCATGACAGTCAATTTGGTCGTGGGCTATTCCTATGCCTCCATCATCTTAGCTAATGGCAACGTGAATGCTACACTTCATGGAAGATGGATCTATCGCACAAAAAAGAAACGAGTTGGCTCAAATCTCAAATCGCTTCCAATAAATATAAAGCACCCCCCCCCCTCACACACACTTAAGTTCGATATTGCCCTCAATGGAGTAGAGGGAAGGATAAGGGGAACGATGTTACCGTGATGAAAGATTGTCGGGGGACTAGAAATGGACCAGTCAGCGGGGGACAGACGGAACGATGGAACAATTCTGCATGAAGGGAACATAAATAACACACTAGCACACTGTGCGTTAGGGATCAGAGTCAGCCCAGATGGGCACAAAACAGACAATCCACAAAAGAAAAAAAAGCACACAAAAGACTCAGTTCAAGCTCCTCGCACACATGGAGCAAACATGAAAAAACCAAAACACAAACACACTCAAAGGGGCGAGAGTACAGACTACTCGTCGCCGAGGTTGTACAAGTCGATGTCATCCATGAAAGCATCGTCACTGGCTGGCGGGGGTGGGAGTGGGGAGTCCTCCCGGGGAGTCCTCCAGACTGGCTGCTCGCCTGGCATCATCTGGAGCAGGTACTGCTGGACCTCCTGCATACGACGAGTTCTGCCACGCTCCCTTTCAATGTGAGCACGGGTCACCCCCTGCTGGGCCTCCATGTGGTCGAGGCGCTCATCATATGCAGCCATCCGGGTGCTACACTCGGCCTGGTGAGCAGAGTACTGCTGCTGGAACTGGAGATGATGCTCGAGGAACTGCTGATTCTAAAGATTCAGCTGCTGGAACTAGTGAGCGAAGTAGTCCTGTGATGGAAATGTGGAGCTACCACCCCCATGCTCATAGGTGGTCTGGTAAGGGGCGGTGGGGGCGGCAGCAGCGTCCACATCATCGGGGTGGACATACTCGGTGGCAGCATCCTCAGGAACTGCGGGCTGATCCTCCTTAGGGAGGGGTGGAGCAGGAAACCCCTCAATGCACTTGACGTCGCGCTCGACTTGCAACAGGTGCATCTTCGAGATAGTCTCTTCTCCGAAAACCCAAGTGTCCCCCTGCTCTGTGCAATCCTGATAGGGGATTTGGAAATAGACTACCAGGAGGGTGATGAGTGGGGTGCAGTGGAGGGTCCCCAGAGTAATAGCACTTTTGTCTAGAGTCCTCGCCACCATAGAACCCAGGTGGAGATCATGGTTCGCAATGCGAATGGAGTGGATGAAGTACATGGACCGTCTGGTCAGGGTGCTGACACTTTCCCCAGCTGGAGTGAAGGAATTTGCGAGCAAATGGTGGAGCAGGCGATTCTCGAGCTACAAAGTGCTAGCATTCGTCGGCCCCGCAATGAAGGGGTCCTGACCTGGCTGAGCGATCCGGGTATCCAAAGCCTTGAAGGATACATCTGCTGGATTAGTTACCTCGGTGACATAATCCTCGTCATCGGTCATGTCGAGGTCAAGAGCGACAACCACGTCGTGGTAGCTCATGGAGCGAGGTTCACCCCCTAGCCTGAACTTGACGGCCTTGTTGTCCGCCCAGTCGGTAGTCTCTTCGTGCCTAAAGGTCGTGTAGAACTCTAGCACAAGTTCGTGGTAGACCTTCTCGTGCACATAAAACAGCCGACGCCAT